TTCTGGTATTGGTTGTATATTGGGATCGGGCTGGACAGATACGCGTATGGGAGTAAATTCAAGTGCGAGGCCGAGGCCAGGCTGAGGGCAAGAATCAATGGTATCTGGAAGAGAAGAAAAAATATTTATTTTTTCGATTATTTTCTATTTCATGGAACTATTTAAAAATGGTTTGGTTCATCCTTACAATCGATAAGCTTTTAAAATTAACTCGATTATTTGGCATTAATTAAATGAAATTAAAAGTTAGCGAGGAAAATTTTTCATATTAATTTGGATAAGGATAGCGAAAAGAAAACAATAGAAATTTCAATTTTTTTTTTCTGAATGTTTCGAATAATTAATGAATAAGATTTTTTAATTAAACAGAGTTTCTTATTTTTTGAGAATTATTTGACAATTCCAAAGAGGAATCTTTCGCAAAAATTTTTGTTTATAAATAACAGAATTTAAATTCCGACAATTTACAATTTACAAATTTACATTTTACAATTTTACAAAATTCTGACAATTTAAAAGAACGAAAGGATTCCCAAATAAATTTTTCCCAGGACGATCGTCAATGAAACCGTCTCGTGACTCTGGAATCCTTTCAAGATTGACGATTCGACGGATGGTCGAATTTTACGAACAAGAAGGTATTCTCGTCGCGTCGGAAGGACTGAGTTTATACTTGCATGAAGCCAGGGATCCTTTTTACGATCCAATAAGAAACGAACGAGTGACCACGTTGATGGCTAGAGACGCGCAGATACCCGAGCAAATCATGAAAACGAAAATACTGCTCTTGGAATCTTCCAAGACTGGCAGCATTGATTTTGAATTGTGACAGTCACGTACTTGATTTTCAAGAACGTGAAACGCGTGGAAAAATAATTTTTTTAAGATTCTACTGCTGTTCTCGAATTTAATTTAATTCGAAAAGGATCGTGATTTCAAGAAATTGAAGTGAATGAATTTCTTTCTAAATGAGAGAATGAGATATAATAATACAATAATATATAGTTTTCTCAAAAAGATTTGAAAGATTCTTTTTTGAATAGAAAAAATATTATTGGATGACTTTTCGTTAAAATATATTATCACAGAATTCCTTTCCTCTCAAAAGAATAAAAATCCCGATCAATTTATCCATTCTTCTAATTACCCACAACCCGATCCAAAAAATCAATTTTTATTCACCCTATTCTCAACACACAGTGAATCAATAAATCAACTATGTAAAAATAATAAATGCATATTTTCTTTGAAACAATTGTAGAAATATTCGTCAACGTACGTATACACATTCAGAAAATCCTGTGTTCCTGTCCACAATAGTAGATATAGATTTAGAAAGATCACTCACCAGCGACTGCATCGTGAGATAGTTTGCTCTATTCCAGTGGAACCTCCTCGCTCGACGAAGGACTGTTCGGCCTGTGCACCTTGCTTCCGATCTCGTTTTGACTTATATACATGGCGGAGGGGACGAGCGAGCCGGCGGCGGTGTCTTCGAACCAGGAACCAGAGGAATCGTCGAAGGACAGGCGGATCCGTTCACCGAATACTTGGAGACACGAGATCCCTCGATCCGGGATCCGGCATCGTTCGCCACGCCCTCTTCTTCTTCTTCTTCTTCTTCTTCAAGTTTTATTTGCTCGTCTCTCGTTTTTCTCGCCGCTTTACCCCAGGAATTAGATCCGCGATTTTCTGTAATGGGATATCGAGACAAACCGTTTGTTGGCAATTGGAATGGAAATTGGATGGAATTCGACGAGGATCGATCACGACACTCGGTGAAAAAAATTATATTATTACAGGAAATTTGTTGTTCCTATGGAAGAAATTGTTTATTTATCTCTCTTTTTTTCTGGAATGTAATTTTTATTATTCTCGTACGAATATTATATTTGTCATTCGTTGGATATTCGTTTTTTGAATATGGAGGTAAGTGGAAAATTCATTTTTTTATTTTTTTACAATTTGTAATTTTCATTTCTTCTTTTTGTGTTCGTTTATTACAAATTTCTTTCGATGTGGTTTTCGATAAGTTAAAATGGAAAATGTGACTTTTATTATTTTTGTGGGGATAAGATAGTGTAATCCTACGATATATTTACAGGTGGCCCTTAAAACCATGGTAAGAAAGAGAGGAAAAGAGAACAGTAAGTAAAATTTATACTGAATTCCTTAGTACTTTTATCTTTTTACAAATTTATATTACTCGAGGGGTATGGAACGCAGTATTTTTGCTTGCTCGATGAAAGTTTTATTTCTGCTGACCATCGTGAACCACTAATAGTTCATGGAGTACTGGAAATATCGATTCTTCTAGGTTTTAAACGAAAACTTCATCCGTGCTGATTTTAAATGAATTTTTACAAGAAAATTTCAATAATTTTTTGATTTGAAACTGATTAATTCGTATCATCATATGACATGTATATCGCAGATGTCCAAATTTCAGAACAAACGTAAAAATTGTGATTGATAAAAATTCTCCTTTTTCATAAGTAAGAATTTTTCAAAAAAAAAAAAAATTTCATTTATAAAAATGAAATATTTCTATAAATAAACGTTACATGTTCGAATCACATTTCATATTCATTCGTTCCAGAATCTCAACCTCCATAAAATAGTCGCTGAAGCAAAAAAGTACATCAAACTTGATTAAGAAAAATTTACAAGATTTTTTTCTCTCGAAGAAAGAATCCAATAAATTCGCAAAAAAGAAAATTTCTTCGAAGATCAAACGAATAATAGGACACAAAAATATCTAATTGTAATTATAGATTGCATTGTAATTTTAGTAAATCGTTTATTTTTTATCGCCCTCTCTAACTTATGTATTCTTTTAGGTATTTTACATATAAATTACATAAACAACTAAAAAATTCTTCTCAAAAATCCTTTTCTCTCTTGCTGCAAACCTTTAATCGTTCTATGTTTAATTTTCTCTCACACAATCACATTCATTTCCAATAGAAATCATTGATGAGAATCGTCAACATCGTCGAACCTTAACCTCTCTTTCGTTTCTTTTTAAATCTTTTTAAATACTAGGCGAGGGACGTGAATTCGAAAGAGTTTTCCTTTCTTGGGGCCCCATGCACAATGGAACACGTGATTGCATTTCTTCGATGCCTTTCGCGGCAACAATTCGACCGACCTTGATCGTATGATATTCCTTGTCGAAATTGTTCGGCTGCCGTTGCCTTTTTTCCTCATGAATCCTCCCTTTGTTGCAAATGAAATCGCCAAGGACGCGTTTATTCCCGGACATAGCCAGCCAAATGATCGAACGAACACGATTGTCCTTTGCGCCTCGTATCGCGGGCATTCTGGTTCGGGGGGATAATGGCGACCGAGGAGCAATAGGAATTATTTGTCAGTGTCAACGAAAACACGAGGGAAAGGAGTGTGGAGAAATGGATTCTTGAGTTTCAAATACCACTGGATGGTATGCGCATCTTTTTGATCTGTTTTTTAAGTTTGGAAGCTAGGTGGCGTTGTGTAGTTATTTATGGAAAGGTTGGCAAGAGATTGATTGTTTTCGATAAGATGAAATATATGAAAATAAGTAAATGGTTTTTCGTTTTCGTGATTTCAACGAAAATTTTTGCCTTTGATAATTAATCGCAAAATTTCAATCTTATCTTAAGTATTTGAGTTAAGTTTTTCTCACTGATCTTGTTTTCTAGTTTGAAGATAGATAAAAATAATTTAGTTATTTATGGATTGGAGAAAAATTAATAATTCTGGATAGCACAAAATATATAAGAAATTATTGTTTTTTATAATTCTTTTAACATATTCAACACGCAATATCTTTGTAAGATTTTAACTTAATTGTAGAAATTTCAATTTTATCTTAGATTCTTGGATGATATTTCTTATTAATCTATTTTTAAATTTGGAAATAGATGGCGCAGCATAGTTATGTGTGTGTAGTTATTTATGGAAAAATTCGTCAGAAATTGATAGTTCTATTACCTTTTTTAAATGCTACATTTAATAGTATTCCTTTCTGAGTTAAAAATTTGTTATTTATTCCTATCTAACTTCCAATCAGTTGCTTACTTCACAAATTATTTCTTCTTTCAATTTCTTACTTGATATAGTTCATCAACAAAAAATAATTTTGAAAAATGGAACATGTCTCTCAGGATTTCTATATTCAAAGTGATATTCATGATATTTCTCAAAATTTTTCGTTATTGGTCAACATTCGAAGTTAGCGTGTAACTACGCGTAGGCGATGGTTCTAAGGCGCGAAGAGTCTCGATCGTCTGTTTTTTCTTTAGCTACCGAGAATTGCCAAGCACGCATGTAGGAAGTAACAAGATTCTTTCGTAGGCGAGTTTCACTTGACAAAGTATAGATAATCAAGGGAATAGATATCTATCTTTAAAATTAGAAAAATTAGAAATATAAAGAGAAAAGAAGATGAAAAAAATGAAGAAAAAAAAAATAAAATAAAGATAGAGATGTGATAATCATTGAAGTAAAAACGATATATGAAAAAAATATATGGCTTTGAGGATTAATATCTCAAATTTTGGAATTAATATGTAATATTAAAAATTCATATTTTGATTTTTGAATAATAAAGAGTGTTGAAAGTAAAAAATAAAAAATGTATAAAAAATTAAATATTTAATTTTGAAGTACAAGGTAAACTTCCAAAATTTATAAAAAGTTGGAAAAAATCATATATATATATATAGGATTTAAAAAACAAAGATATAAGATAAATGAATTGTTTAAGTATTAATTTTTTCATTTGTTTGAAAACTTAAAATTGATTCAAAAATTTATTAATGAATGTAAAATTGTAAAAATCGATGAACATACGTATCTTAGTTTGAAATAAATCATCATATTATCTTTCACAAATTTCAGTTAATTAAAGGCAATCTTAATATTCTATAATAATTAGACAATTTTTTATAATTGATGCATTCATTAAAATTTTACTTTAACTGTAAAAATATTTTAAATTATTGAAAAATTAAATCTATAGAAGAAATATATCTCTCAATTTATTTTGTCAAATCATTGATATTCTTTGTACAATTGTATCATAAAATTTTAATTAAAAAAATGATATTAGCATTCTATTTTTTATAAACGAAAATTAAATTTAAATCTTTTACATTATATTGTAACTGTTATATGAGTTATTACGTAGTGCAAACGTAGTTTAGAATTCCAAGATACCGCAGTCAGTGTAGCATTTTCGGAAAAAATGTTGGAAACCACTCGGACCACGCCTACGCTCTCAGAGATCCGGTCACATATTTGCGGAGATCGCCACATGTCGTAAACAACATAAACATAATGCAGTCGTACCACACTCGATGTACACACATAATATATATATATATATATATATATATATATCCCACAAATATCTCGATATCAGTTTTGGTAATAATTAAATAAAATAATGGAATGAACGAAAAAAAAAGACGACCGAAAATGTCGATGACTTAAATAAATCTTTCTAGATGATTCTTTTTTTAAATAGGCGAAACATAACACAATATTTTGTATAGTATTATTGCGTTATGTAATTAAAAAAATTAAAATAAAAATGCCAATTGTACATAAAATATTAATGATAAATTTAGAAAGGATAGATATTTAAATTATAATTTCAATGTCGAAATGAATTATACTATTAGAAATGTGATTTAAATTTCTTCTGGTTCAATTCGCAGATGTAATACTTCTAAACCTCTGATCACAGTCATTCTTAAGATTTTTGCTGCTTCTATGGCTTTGTAAATACTAGCGGATGATACCACTGGTTCATCATTGACTTGTGTTATGATATCGCCAGCTTGTAAACCTCCTCTGAAATTTGTTCATAAAAATATAATTTTTATTTATTATCATTAATAATATAAATAATAATTAGGAAACATACAGATGTGCTGGCGATCCTACGATCACTTTATAAACAAGAACACCATATCTTATGTTATGTGGAATTCCTTTTAATTTTTTTTGCAATTCGTAAAAAAGATCCGGTGTAAGCGTTAGCATTGTGATTCCGATATATTGAGTTTTTGTTTTTTCCATTGCGAATTGTGTACCTAATATATTTATATATTAATATTATTTTATTTTACAATGATATATTAAATATTTCTTATTTCATTTAAATGCTATACCTTTGTTTTTTCTGCGTAATTCTGCTTTTCTTAAAAAATCTTTGGCATAATCTATAGGTATAGCAAAAGAAATACCACTTGTCACTTTCATTGCATTTATACCAATTGCTTCTGCATCCAAATTAACTAATGGACCACCTGAATTTCCAAACTAAAAAATGATAGTATATAATAGAATATTTTAATATAAATTTTTATATTAAAAGTTTAATATAAATTAAAATAATGATAGTGAAACACTAACAGTGATTGCAGCATCTGTTTGAATGTAAGCCATCTGTTTATTAAGAAGACCAAGTTCTTGGCTATGTCTATTTACACTACTTATTACACCACTTGTTATTGTGTTACTTAAAGCTAATGGAGATCCAATAGCAACCACAAATTCTCCAGGTCTAAGATTTGAAGAAGAACCAAGTTTCATTACTGGTAAATTTGTCTATAGAAAAAATTAATAATAACAATTTAAAAATATATAAATAATTATATAAAATAATATAAAAAAATATATGAACCTTGTTAATTCGTACAGTTGCAAGGTCACTATGCACGTCAATGTCCTCCACAGTACCAGTATAAACACTTCCATCATAAAGACGTACCTGTGAAATAGATTGCATAAAAACTTCTGAAAAAATATGTTTAATATTAATTCCTGTAATATAAGAATATTTATATAAAATACCACCAACATTACCTTGACAGTTGTATGGGGTTTAGCAGTAACAACATGAGCATTTGTCAATATTAAACCATCTGATTCGACAATAAAACCAGATCCATTGCTTATATTGAATGGTTTACCTGTTTGAAAATCAAATCTATTTTCTCATTAATAATTACTGTTAATTATAATTATTTAGTTATCTTTATAAGTATAAATATTTACCTTCTGTTATTTTGAATTTCTATGTACACTACTGCAGGTGCTGACTTTTCTACCACATCGGCTATAAAATTATATTTATTTCTATTATTACCTCCATCCCAAGAAACTGGTTTAGCATATATTGTGAACATAGATTTTATCAAGTTGCTAAATCGGTTTTGACAATCGTCCTTCCATTTATACAAAACATAACCAAAACCAGAAAAGAAAATGGTATAAAACAAGACATTTCTAACTGTTTTTTCAGAAGTTCGAAATTTTTTATCTTGTTGATGCGAACATTTATATTGCGAAAAACGATTCACGCATGAAACTGTTAAGAATTGTTTATACTGGAAGTGATTTCTTCTTAAAACGGTCCAAGATGTTCGGGTCAAGGGGGCAGCCATTTTTCGACTCCCAATAAGAGAGTGTCGGTTGTATTTTTAAATCCCGCGAAAATCGATTTATACATGAAAATTTATGAAACACAAAATTATTGAAACTTTATATCAAGAAAATTCTAATAAATATAAGATGTAAGATAGATTTAAAATTTAATCGGAATTGTTTTTAATAAATATAAATTTTACGAAACAAGTATAAAGAAGGAGAGTAAATATAAAATAATTATAAGGACAGAGATAAAATGAAAATTCGAAAATCAACGCCATCTCCAGAATACTGCAAAAAAAAGAACGAAACAAAGAGAATAGAAAGTAAAAAAAAAGGATAGAGATATAAAATAAGAATTTATTGTTAATTCAATTAATTTATGAGCATTAAAAATATCTTTTTTAAAGTACTCAAGAGATAACATTGATTCTCAATTTTTTGAAAAAATGTCTTTGGTGCATAAGAAATAATAGTTATTATAATTATACTATTTCTTCTCTTACTATATACACTCCTTATTTATATATATTTCATCTACGACAGTTTAGAAATGATTCTAATTCCTGAATTTTTATTTTATCTCTTGTCTTTCTTTTACTATTTATTCTTTTTGCCTATACGTGCTTATTACGTATGATATAGATAAAATGATATAGAATGAGAATAAATACTTTTATATAAATACTTTTATCATTTCTCTTTCAAAAAAAAATAATTGTAAAAAATATTGTAAAAAAATGGTATTTTTTTTTTTCAATTATATTTCATAAATTACATTTATTTTATTAATGTGAAATTTATTTCTTTAGTTAATTTTCAAAATCATCACAAGAAATTTTGAATTTCTTTTATTGAAGTACACATATTTTACATCAATAAGAGATCTTATTTACAATATAATTATACAGAAATGATTTATAATCTTTGTTTATAACAATTATATTACGTTTCTTGTTTTTTTACTTTTTTTTTTGTATTTACTATTCCGTTTGATTGATTATTTAAATTCACTTTTTTACTTATTTTTAAGAGTTTAGGTTTTTTCAAAGTTTTCAGTTTGACTTCTGTTGTCTTTTCTTTTTTTTTTTTTATTTCCAATTTGTTCGATGATTTTTTAATATTTTTTGTTATTGATGTTTTTTTTTCATTTTCAAATTCTCGTGAATCATCTATCTTTTTCTTTTTTATGTTGTTAATCATTATTTTTTCATCAATAACTTTGCGTTTTTTAATTTTTTTTGTCTTCTCTGTTTGAATTTCTTCGTTTATATTACATTCTTTTTCAGTATGACCTAATAATAAATAAATAAATAATAAATAATAAAACAAAATTTTATATATACATTATATTATTTTCATTAAGAAAATGAAAATTACATACCAATTTCGTTACATTTAAAACATTTTCCAGTAACTTTGGGCTTTCGGCCGCACAAATGTTTTGCCACGATACATCTTTTACAAGTTTCGCAATGCTTCCAGTAAGGTTTCACACATCGTTTGCATATATCACAGTGTTTATATGTAAGACCATTTTTTGAGGTACACTCTTGACATTTTTTACAATGCTTATTCTCTTTACCAACCCATTTTTGACATTTTTTGCAATATCTATAGCCATTCGATTTCGGAAGTTCGACTAAATTTAATGGTATATTTGTAAAAATTCTAATAGGTGATGGCAATTTAGTACCATTGGAATCATTTAAAAATAATGGATGATTATCATAAGCTACTTTATAATCAGTCATGCTCAAATCTTTCAAACCTCCTGATATACCAGGAGGATTACTTTTTTGTTTCATTATAGATTCCATAAAATATGGAAATATAAACATAATTTTTAAACAATCACTTTCATTTTCTATATTATTCCATTTCTTATGAAATTCAGAAATTTTTTTTATAGTCCAAGATATTGGTTCCACTCGACTACCAAATGGTGGATCACAGATCAAATAAGTATGTTTCCCCTTATTTTGCATAAGAAAATCTTTAAACACATGAATGGCACTTTCATTAAAAAAATGATTATTCAATAGATTATACCAACAATAACTTAATGGTCCAAAAAAATTATGCTATAAATTAGAAAACACAAATATGCATTATACTGATATAATTTACTTTAGTATAAATTTATTTGATTTAATGAATTTTTAAATAAACTTACAAATCTTCCATCAAAATCTAATAAGAGTGAAGATATTGTATCTTCATAATTTTCTAGAATATATTCATGAATCTTTGGAGTACCTATGCAAAGAATCTGTGTTGCTCCTAATTTCACAAGTATATTTACTATATCTTCCGTTGTTTGCTTTGTAAAGAAATATTGAGCTTCCTGCTTAGAATTTTCTATAGGTTTTAAAATTTCTGTTGGATGTTTCATCTCATAATCTGTAAGATTTTCTTTTATGTCATGATTTTTATGTTTGTTCATCACATCTTTCTCAATTTTGGATATCAATTGCTCACAAGTATGACAATAGCATCTATTGTCTGGAGTTACAGACATTACATCATTAAAATGAACATATAATGATCTATGACGATAACGAGACATAAATTGTTTTTTCTGTTGTTCCCATTTAGTTGCTTGTTGTTTTGTCAGTTTTTCTCCTTCTTTCAAATAAAATTTGCATGTCTTTCTCTCGCGACAAGCAGAACACACATAAAACTTTTCTAATTTGCCATTTTCATATGTGCCAAATAATAATGTTGGTCCTATATAAATAAAAATATCATTGTAAATATTTTACACTATCTTTCCACGATAAAAAATTTTGATATGAAATATTACCATGTGGACATTGAGGATGTTTACTCAAATCCGACCAAAAACATTCCATGTTTAATAATCAATGAAAGCAAAATTAACAAATAGTTTAAAAATAATTATTTATATTAATATTTACTATAACGAAAACTTAAGCATACTTTTAAGAATACTTTATTTACTATATAATTAAATACTTATTCATAAAACTTGTCATCTTATGCGAAACATTCACTCATGCAAAAACAAAACATACCACGTGGTTTGCATAGCGATATAAACTTAATCGATTTTCAACGCGATTCGAGTGTCACTTGCGATTATCGAAACTACTTTAAACATTTTACTTCTCTTAATAAGTTTTCAATTTAAATAAATTTGATCGAAAATGATAATGTAGAAAGAATTGATTTTTAATGAATTAATTTTAGTAATTAGATTAAAGATTTTTTTTAAAGTGATCAATTGCTTAATATCCAATATCTATTGATTTAAATATAAAAATATGTAATATATAAAATTTGAAAGAAAAATATTTTATTTTACGAAAATCATTTTATTCAAAAAAAGAGCAAAATATTAGGTACGTATATTAGATATTCCATATAATTTTAAAATTTAATTAATAAATGATTTTTAATTTTGAATTAATATTAAAGAATTATTATAAAAAATAGACAAGAATTGTAATTTAATAAATTATGAAAAAAAATATTTTTCTCATACAATATTTTATTAATAATGTTTAAAAAATTTAGAGCCATTAATTAAATTTATTTGTATTTTATTATAACTTTTTTTTCTACAATTGCTGTTATTTACTGTATCACATGTATGTATAATATTTTATATATATATATATATATATATATATGTTTTCAAAAACATAACTGTAATATAATGTATATATATGTATATATTACATATATAAGGCAATTTAAGCCTCTACAGGCTATAAACATCTTCGTGCGTTGTTTTGTCATGATTGTTTGTAATGTTTTATCGTAAAAATACAGATAATACATTATGTTACAATATTTGAATGTTCAATTTTAATTGGACCATAGATATACATACAAAAAAGAGAACAAAAAAATAAATTTTTCATTCTTCGGTAATTTTTATAATACTGTATCAATAAATAAATATCTGAGATTGTTAAAATTATTTTAAAAATAAGAGATATCTAGATATATCAAGAATGAATACATGAGCATAAAATTCATGAGTCAAATTTTTTTAGCTAATGAAAACAGTTGTTATTTGTGTGATTTTAAAGCATTTCTAAATAATTTATAGAATCGACACATTTTATTTTTATTTTCTTCTTTTTTTTATTTTTTTATTTTAATTATTTTTAGTTGTGTTTATTCTGTTAGATAATATATTATCACAGACTATCCATTTGCAGTTAGGAAAAACATTTACTAGAAAAATTTGTTTATCTTCTACTGACATATCAGTGCAACTATGAATATGTTTATGAAATACTAATACTTACTATAATTAAATTAAATTATTCGTATATACAAAGTATTAGCCATCTAGAACTGTAACTTGAATTATTTGGTCTAAATTGTATATATAATATTAAATAACAACGTATATTTTTTTCTCATAATCTATATAATTATTTTTCTATAATTCGTTAAATATAGTATACATAATACTGCAACTGTGCAAGTATATAAATATTGTGATTGTTCTTTTTTTTTTTTATAATTTCATAAGGAAAATAATGTAACATCACGAACAAAGTATTTTTTTCTTTTCTATTCTTCATTTTGTTTCTTATAATTATTCTAAAACTAAGATATTACGGCTGAATGTATATATTTTACATATTTAATAATTCGCTTATTATACACATATTTTTAAAGAGAATATTTTTGCCAATCCATCTTTGTTGCTATACTTTCGTTTTATTCAACTAGTAACATTATTCATTAGACTAAAAACTTTTTAATGAATTTTTTATATATACATAATTGACTACAAAGCTTCTTCATTCAGCTTGCTGCATAAACTATGAATGTTTACAAGTATTACAAGTACAGTTTACAAATATCATGCATACACGTGAATCTTGAAATTTACAAAAAAAAAAAAAAAGGATTATAAAATATATTACAAATAAATAAAATCACAAAAAATAGAAAAATATAATTATGCAGCAAGCATTGGAGCTTCAAAGAATAAGAATTAAATTTCATTTATATAAGCAGTATGTTTTTTTTTTTTTTTTTTTTTTTTNNTTTTTTTTTTTTTTTTTTTTTTACGATAAATTTACAATTCCACATTTCTAAAGTCTAAATGCAATGCTTTGATTGGAAAAATTCATAAAAAGGCTATCGCCATGAAAATTTTGTATAAATATGCCGAAAGCATTTTGTGAATAGATAATCAGTTCGTATAGGCTTCAAGAGCTCATTGCTCTTTTTCGATGTAGAGTAATAGAAAATTTTTAAGACACACACAAATGGACTTGCTGCAGATTAAATATTGACCACATTGTACTTTAGTGAAGTAATTTTTTTTTCGTGAAAGAATATATAGAAAGGATCTTATCAATTAATCATTTTTTGTCTTTTGTTTTCTTTTTTTTTTTTTGCACAAAATTTTTGTTAGCAAGATGGCAGTAATTGAAATTTAAAAAATAATTATACATATCATACACGTGCATTGAGATGTTCGACGTAAATTATAAAATATTAAAAATAACAAAAACAGCTATGCAAAAATATATCTAAATTATTTATCCGTTACTATATTCAGACTTTATACTATTCATGAAAAGTTATAAAGCTATTAGTTTAGATTGACACGAACCCCATCTTTCCTGTAATTTTCGACGCTGTTCTACATGATGATCTGAAAGATTTCTTGATAATCCTACATGTCCTGTCTTTAATTTTCTAGGATCTAAATTTGCTCCTAAAGTTTGCACACCTTTCGCAAATTTTGAAAAAGGTGATAAGATATCTTTGGCAGTAGATGCCACAGGACTCGCAACATTTGTTATATTAGTTTTTATCGATTTCAAAGCAGACTCACTCTGAGAAGATGTAATATTTAAACTTAAATCTTGCTCAGATGTGGATCTCTTTTTATCTAGTAATCTGTTTTCCGTCTGCAATTTATTTCCATTTGTATCACTAAGTGTCAGCTTACTATCAACTTCTCCAGTCGAATGACTAATATTTTTGGACAAATTCAATGTGGATGGAGGAAGAATTCTTTCCTTGTCCTCTGTCACACTTTGTATAGTTATTTCTGGTGTTTTTTGAGGAGATGCACTTACAGTACTGGCTCCAGAACCAATCTGTGGCACATTTAAAACTTCTTTATCAGAAATTTGTTCAGATAATTTGTTAGGTCGTATTGACAAATTTTGGTCTTCATTGTTCTCATCAGATTCAACGACATCAGCATTTTTAACACCCATTATAATACCAATAGATGGAGTATAAGCTTCCATCAAATTCTTATCATGACTGAAATTCTCTGGCTTTTCTAAAGGAACAGTAGATATACCAATGTTTTCATCATCACTACTACTACTACTATTACGTCTTCCTTGCACATTGCCTAAAATATCTCTGCCTCCAAGAGTGAAAATAGGTTTGGAAGCTGCTTCAGATTTCCTGCCTATGCTTTTCGCTATATCAATTGGTTTTCTAGCGCTAAAGCTATGACTTAACTTATTTAATTTGCTAAATTGTTCAGACATGTTATTTAAAGCTTTCGTTCCTGCAACGATAAAATAATTTGAAAGTTATTGATGTAGATTTTATAAATATGTGCACATTATCAAAATTCTTATATTTATTATGGAAAAAAGAAATTTTTTTATAAAACATACCTGCGCTTTTAAGAGCTAATAACTGTGTTTCTGAGACATTTCTAGTTAATTCTGGAAATGACGAGATATCAAGTAGACCCGTAGTTCCTTTACTATTCACTAACTTACTCTTTCGTCTATCTAACGTAACATTCATTGCTATAGGAATCTTTGGTAAACTGTTTATATCCATTGCTACAGAGATAGCTTCGCAAATTGATTTTAAAGACTCTGAAATATGTAAATCAACATGGTATAATTGAAATTATATATTAGAGCATAATAAATCGTGTTCTACCTATACTTTCTTCTTCTGTCTTTATAACAACAGCCATATTATTAAAAAATCGTAAATTTGTACTCCGGAACATATGAAAATAACCATATTCATTCGCCATTTTATAATTTATTCTAATGCAATGGAAATGTTTATTTTTAAAAAGAGAAACCGAACTTTCGGGTTGGCCAAATTCAATTAATACAATATCTTCAAGTGGAACTCTTTGGTAATTTGTGACTTTGTCGATTTGATCATCATAATCAGCTACATAATAACTATCGTGTGTTAATATTAGAATGGTGTCCATTTCTGTCTCTGTTAAGTCACCAGTTCTGTTAAAATAAATTATAAAAAAAAATAATAATATTAAAAATAAATTTAAATATTATAAATTTAAAAAAATAAAAAAATGAATTTCTAACATACACAGGATCGGCATCTATAAGACCCCAACTGCCTAAAATAACTTCTGGATCGGGTATAAGTAATTTCTTGCAATCTTCTATTAGTAATTTCACGTGAATTGCTGTAGCGGCGTTGTCTTCTTCTTCGGTACGCTCTTGAAATACTTCTTCGTTTACAATATTTCCTAACATCATATCGATCGTGGCTTGTCTATAGACATCCTTGAAGCGATTTAAATAGTATCTGAAAATATATAGGTCTCCTAACTGTTTCCGTCAAGACTATAATTAAAAATAAAATAAAAAAAATATGAAATAAAAAAAATGACGATAAAAAATACTGTCTTGAAGGAGTCAGGATAGTTTTCTTCAGAGATAGTTTTCTTCTTTCTCTTCAAATTAATATTTGTTTAGATTAAATTGAAAATCAAGCAATTATCATGCAAACAAAAACGAGCAAAAAATGCAATATCAAACTGATAATATGTGAAGTATAGTTTTAATATAATTGTCATTATTCGTTGTTTGGATAAAGCAACAATTGGTTTGAAGTTTTAATATATATTTTATTTATTTGCTCGATTGAAAAACATTCAACCCAAAGCTGAGAACGAACCTTGCCAAATCATACATAGCACTGGCATAAAGAAAGTCAGAATAGGTGGCAAGTTGAAGCTCTATATTTGGTGGTTTCGCGGGTATTAACTCAAGACAACAATTA